TGTGCGTGTGCGTGTGCGCGTGCATGCTCGCTCGCTCCTGAGGCTGCCCAGGGGGAGACCAAAAGAGAGAAAGATTCTCCCAGGGAGAATCTCTCTCCTGGAAGCTCCGCCCCGGTGATGGGCCTCAGGGACATTTGTCAGAGCCTTACACGGCATTATGCCCATGGTCCCGAAGGCCTTCTGGTCTCCCGTCTGTGGGTTAGACCCCACTCACCTGGAGGGCATCGCTGATGTTTCCATTGTAGTCCACCATCTCCCCTTTCCCTGGCTCTCCCTTGGAGCCCTGCAAGACAATTGAGGTCTCAAGCACAGGGGCTAGGGCAAGGGCTGCCTGTGCCCTATCAGAGGGGCGGGGAGGCATCACCATTGACTGCACCTGGCTGCACAGGTGACTTCAGAGCAACTGGAGAAGAACTGGTGAAGGGCTCCCGAGCCCTCTCCTGGGCTGCCCGGGGATTCTAGACCAATTACGGAGAGCCTCCATTGGCTGGACAGACCGGAAAAGACTGAGTGCAAACATGGACCTCTCCCTAGGTTGAGCGTGCTCTTCCCTTCCCTGCATACGGAGACCCCAGGGCCAAGCCCCTTCTCCCTGTGACTTACTTCAGGGAGGTGGGGCATCCCATTGCGACTCTGGGGAGAGAGGCACATACCTTGGGGCCAGTGGGTCCCTGTTCTCCAACCGCTCCAGGCTCCCCCTGTGGCATGACAAAATTGGAGTGAGTGGGGACAGAGGCGGGTCACGCACTGATGTCCCTAGCTAGCACTGCAGAAGGGGGCTGGAGCTCTCTGCCTCAGGCTGAGAGGACACATGGGACCCCATCCATGGCAGGACCGGAGGGCTCAGCCTCTTCAGGAAGTGGCCTCTGGACACCTGCACACTCCCGTCTCCCTCTGAGCTCCTCCGGTAAAGTCACTTGACATCCTGCCTTGTGCTCTCTGATAGTGACCCCACGTGCCACTGTCTGGCCACCTCTGCCCAGGCCTCTCCCAGCAACACCTGTGGGAGCAGACATCATTGCTTCTCTTTATTTCCATCCTGTTCAAGTGTCCTGGGCAAAGCCATTTGGTGCCAGTTTGTCTAGGTGCTGGGTAACGAGCATGAAGACCCGTGATGCTCTTTTGGGCTCCCCTCTGCTTGTGAAAGACCCAACCTGCAGGCTGTTGGGGCAGATGATTTTGGGTGGGGCGGTAAGCTCTGCTCCTATGGAAAACATGACAGAACTTTCTAGAAGAAATGAAACAGCGGTGTACACTTCAAAGAACAAATCACAGTTCCAGATGCTCTGGTTTGAGGTTAAAGTCGAAGACCTTTTCTCGTTGTTGTTGTTGTTGTTGTTGTTGTTGTTGTTTAAATCAAGAAGGAAAATAAACAGGAAGGAAATATGAGCTTGTTGGTACACTTCAGCTCACGATGACCTGTCAGGAGACCAGCTCATGGCTCACTGCCATGTTCAAGCTGCCTGACCCTTGGGCCTCCTGACATAGCATTTCAGTTATGTGTCTCTGCGAGGGCTTTGCTGGAGAGCCCAGGGCTGCTGTGGGGCTTGGGAAACTAGTCTTTGTGTGGCTGCAAGCTAGCCAGGAAAGATGGCGGCCCGGAGTGGAGGGGCCAGTGGGCATTGCCCCTTATCTGGATCAGATTCAGCCCTGGGCTGCTTTTCTTTCTCAAGAGATTGGGCTCTCGAGCTGACCCACATCCTGCAGTTCCTGTGATCTAGGGACTTGTGTACCTTGTCTCCTTGCCATCCTGGGGGGCCAGCCTGCCCATCAACGCCAGCTTCTCCCTGGGGAGGAAGAGAGGGATGGGGTGAGGCTATGCAGGGCAGCTCAGGCAGCTGCTTAAGGGGGGACGGATGGCGGATGTTTTGCTGTGAATATCTCTAGTACTCAATGTCTCTGGGCTGCTGTCTCTCCCTCTGCTGATTTTTACTAACTCACACCATTCCATCTACTGGAGTCTTATACCCTTGGCCCGGAAGGCCATAGAAGGAGAAATAATTGGGACATTAGGTTCCTGAGAATGTTCTGAGGCTGAAGGTCACAAGCAAATGTCTCCCTTGGATGCTGATCCCTGGGGAAGACTCACCTTTGGCCCTGGGGGCCCAGGGAGCCCCGGAGGGCCAGGCTCCCCTCGGCCTCCTCCAATGGCGTTGCCAGCACTGCCTTTCTCTCCCTGGGGAGGAAAATGGAGGTACCATTGCTGAGTCAGCCTTGTTTGGGAGGGAAGGGGTTGAACCCTGTCTTCTACTCCTCTGTCCTTTCTCCCTCCCGGCTAAAGGACAGCCCGTCTCTTCCACACCCCCATACCCCCCGACCTCTGTCTGGGCTGAGTTCCACTGGTGGGTTTTAACATTTCAGTTACCAGGTGGGTGCCTAGCCAATTTATCTCCAGAGCAACACACACACACACACACACACACACACACACACACACACACACACACACTCTTGAGAGGTGCACATGATCTAACACCCATAGGGTAGCCAGGAGATGACACTGACTGATGGCCACTGGTAAACAAAGTTGTATGCTTTTACTGACACGGAACCGTTTTCTGGAGCTAGGATCCCACATGACGTGTTTTGGGGGTGGGGGTGGGCTGGCCAGGTGGTAGTTACTGGGTTCCTTCAGGTGGACACTTTGGGGCCTTGTAAAACCTCTCTCCCTGCCCCAACAGACCCTGGAAGCCTTCCCTGCAGTCTGGGGGAGCCACCCAGCCAACACTGGGGCCGAGTGAGTGTGCAGGGCTGAAGTGGGGACCCAGGCCTTGTATGGCACCCACGCCCAGAGGGTAGAGTTTCCTACCTTCTGTCCCAGGAGGCCAGGTAGCCCAGGGGGGCCCACAGCTCCCTTGTCACCCTGCGGGAACAACCCAGACAGCACGTTATCAGGAGTGACTTCTTCAGGAAGGTTCCGGCCGTATCACCACTGGCCGCGCATGGCCTTTGCCCTGCCTCCCAGGGCTGGCCATACTCAGAAGGGCTCCACATCTGGCAGGACCCCCGCCACAGACCGCTGGTACCATTGCTTTCCATATCAGATCATAATGGAGGCCGACCGCCTTCGGCCTCTTTGGGTGGCTTCCTGGGAAGACACTGGACAGTCCAGAAAACCAGTCGTGGGGGGGAAACTGCCCTGGGGCCACTCCACTCTTTTCCATGTGCCTACAGTCTCGGAGCCCTGGCGGCCTAGTGGTTTCAAGTTGGGCTGCGATCTGCAGGGTCAGCCGTTCAAAGCCATCAGCCGCTCCTGGGGAGAGAGATGGGGCTTTCTGCTCCCATAAAGAGTTAGTCTTGGGAACGCACAGGGCGGTTCAGCTCTGTCCTACAGTGTCACTACGAGCAGACTTCAACCTGACGGCCATGACTTTGCTCGGGTTTCATTGTCCCCCTCGTCTCTCCTGCCCACTCCGCCCTCCCTGCCACGAGGACGGAAAATCCAGCTAGCAGAAATTGTCCTTTGGAGCAATGTCTCGAGAGGCTTGCTTTCCGAATCGGCTTCTCCCTTGACCAAGGAGCTCTAGTTTTCCTTTGGAGTCCCTCAGAGATGCAGGAGTTGCCCCCTGCACCCCACCTCCCATAATGTAGAGGCAGCCACTGAGGTTGCAAGCAGTTATATGACAGAGTCGCCCTCTGTGAGTTAGTGGCAAAACCACGTCTAGGATCCAGGTCTCTTGGTGCTCCTTCAAGTCACTGGCATAAATCCTACATCTGCAGATTGCCCACTACTCGGAGCCTGGGTGGCGGGCGATCATGCAGTTTGAAGCCATCAGCCGCTCCCTAGAGAAAGACTGACTTAGGAGTCGGCATCCGCCGGATGGCGGCGAGTGAGGCGGGCCTCAGGCTGCCCGCCAGGGGGCGTGAGTAGACAAAGACTGTCCTGGTCAAAACCATTTTGGACATGCCACACAAAGTCACATTTCTGTTTAGAGCTTCCCGTACCAAAAGCACCCAAAGGCCGGCTGTAGAAACCCGGGCAATCATTAAAAAAAAAAAGGATTTCTCCAGTTTATTTGATGCTTGACACGAGAGAAAAGGAGAGGCCTGCAGGCGCAGTGGACATGAACAGTCACTGCTGGCTGCCGGCCGGCGCAGATGACGGCGGTAGGATCCAGGATTCAGAGAAGGGGAGGCATGGTAGTGTGTTCCCGACAAGCAGGCCCCTCGTTGGAGAGCCCCCTCTACTCAGACAGGGCTCCAGACCCAGGCCAGCCACCTCAGGGCCACCAGGTGCAAAGGAGCAGCAGCCTCCCCACCTCCAGCCCACATTCTCTGCTGCTGCCCCTAGAGCAGTCCCCATGCCACAGTACCTTGGCTCCTGGGGCCCCCAGCTCACCCTATGTGGAAAAAAATCAGGCAAAGAAGGAGAAGAGAAATAATCACTATCTTCACATATGGGTAGGTAAAGGCTATCCATACACGTGGTGTATCTCCCGTATGTGAGAACAGATCATTCAAAAACTAATTGTCGTAAAGGCGAGTCTGACATACAGGAACCCTATAGGACAGCTTAGAACTATCCCTGTGAATCCCTGAGACTGTAACTCTTTACGGGCATAGACAGCCTCATCTTTCAGCTAAGGAGCAGTTGGTGGTTTTGAACTGCAGACCTTGTGTTTAGCAGCTCCACACAGAACCAACCACGTCATAACTCTAGGTACCTATCAATCCAGATACATGTGTGTAGTCCCATCTATTCATTGAAGACACTACATAGACTTCGCTGACTTAACCAAACACCTCTTGGGACTGGTTTGCCAGGTTTGAAAACTTAGTGTCAAAGTCGCATGAGACAACTCAATCAGTTGGCATGATGTAATTCACCAAGTTCAAGTTCTGCACCCTAGTGAAGCGAGTAGCGTCTGGGGTCTTAGCACGATCATCTAAGAGACAGCTAGGAGACCGGGTGTTGTAGTGGGTCACATACTGGGCTGCTAGCCCTAAGGTCAGTAGTTTGAAACCATTAGCCACTTCAAGAGAGAAAGATGAGGTGTTCCACTCCTGTGATGAGTTATAGTCTTGGAAACCTGCAGAGGCCGTTCAAGCCCTGGATCACTGGGGGCCAGAACTAATTTGGTAACAGTGAGGGTTGCTTTTGAGAAGATACAACTATTAGTCTCTATTCACTAGAATTGAAAGAGTGAGAGGTTCACCACAACCTCAGCAAGGAAACAAGTCTGAGGCCGGTCGCCTACACAAGACCTCCACTCTCCTGCGACCAGAAGAACCAGACGGCGCCCAGCTTCTACCACGAACAGACCTGACGGGGCACAGAAGATGACCGTGAACAAAATTCAAATTCTTAGAAACACCCAGATGGACTGGATGTCCTGAGAACAGAGGGCTCATGTCCTGGTGGGGAGTGGGGGGGTGGGTGGCAGGAGGGCGAGTGTCACCTATAATCAGAAACACGGTGACACAGGGAAGAAAGGATATTTACTCATTGGACAGGACGCGCCACTAAAAACCCCTTGGTATGACTCCGAAAGGCCAACACGCACTCTCTCACGGCAAAGGTGAGGAGGTGGGCAGACAGGGGGATTGAGAACCAAGCAGACAGGTGGAAACTGAGCCAGCGAAATGCACTGGAAGAGAACGGTGACACATCATGAGAAATGCAACTAAGGCCATCGATCGATTCATGTGGGAATCTAACTTGTGCAAACTTTCACCAAAAATGAATACAATACTATTTTATAAAAAGAATAGTCAAGGGAGTGGGGAGGGAGGGGGGAAATGAGCAGCTGAGATTAAGGGCTCAAGTAGAAGGCAAATGTTTTGAGAATGATGAGGGCAACAAATGTACATGTGTGCTTGACACAATGGATGGATGGATGGATTGTGATAAGAATTGTATGGGCCCCCAATAAAATGATTTTAAAAATTGCTGGTGAAAAAAAAGGAGATCAAATGATAAGATTAAAAAAAAAAGAATCGTCAAAAGAGGAGAACCGGAAGGACGAGGAAAAGAGGAGGAGGAGTGGGGATAAGCACAGGCAAAGCATTCTGGGAAATTGAAGCATCAGCTCTTGGCCAGAGACCCCCCTACCTTCCCCTGAGCTGCTGGCCCTTGGAAGCTTCCATCTCCCCATGGGGAGTGGTCTTCCCGAGGGCCCTTGTCTATCAGAAAGATTGACACCAGGCTGGTAGAACAGCTTAGCTTTCCCTCCAAACAGCAGTCTCTTCCTGGAGGACAGGACCCGGCCGTTCCAACTCGACGTTTGCACAAATCCCAGCCCAGCACTTGGCAGACGGACAAGATGAAACGTATTGAATGAATCAAAGGGATTGGCTGGGTGAGGACGCCTCGGCTGCTGCCTGTGCTGGGCAGAGGGCCCGGCTCTTCCCGGAGGGGCGCGCGGCACTCCACTCTGGGAGGCCGGCTGGGCATGTGGCTTGGACATAGGTTCCTCCTGCCACTGGGCCTGTCCTTTGTGCTTCTGGGGTGGCCTTGCTTGCCTGCCGGGCAGTGAGGAAGGAGTACAGGAGATGGAGGAGCGTGGGAAGCACGTCATAGCTCCCGCGTTTCTGAGCGTGAAAGAAAAGCTTGGGCCGGCCAGTCTTTCTACACGGCCGGCCGGCTGGCGAGCTCTTTAGTCGAGGCTCATAAACTTTGCTGCTTATCTGCATGGCTTAAACATCGACTCATTTTCCAGGTGTCTCTCAACTCAATGTTGCTTGAAGAACAGTGTTTCCTGATCCTCTCTGGCCACCTCCACCCTCCCCGGCCCCTCCAGGCCAGCCCTGCAACAGTCCACTGACCTTCATTCCAGCCACGGCGATCCCGGGCGCCCCCTGGCAGAGAGAAAGGCACGGCTTTCTGTACTGGGGAGGCATGGAGCAACTCCCAGTCTGACTGCACACCAACCCCCAGAGCCACACAGGGGGTGCAGGGGCTGGCTCGGGAGAAGGTTTTGCAGCACTTCATGCGGATTTCCTGGGCTGCCCACCCACCCACTCGCCTCCCCATGGGGGCCCCAGTTGGAGGGTCCATGGCTGGTTGGATGGAGCTCTCCCTGGGGTAGAATGAGGGAGCTTGACTGGAATACGAAATGAGGAGGGGAGGGAGGGAGAGGGCTGGATTAGCAGAGAACACAAAACAAAGGGGCTGGCTTCACCCAATACCACAGACCCCGGATGTGTGAGTGGAGCTAGCCCCCCGCCCCCCTTCTGTTCCTGTGGGCTGGGAATGGCTGAGTGAACCCCACTTCCATATCAGCCCAAGACCATGTACTTTGAGGAAGACATGCCCAAAGCATCACCTCGATGACCTGGGGTACTCCCATTCCCCACTTGGGGCTCAGACTGCTGCCAGAGCCCAGTCTCTCCACTGCGGAGAAGGCCTGCCCAGGAGGACGCCTGCCACCTCGGGGTGCCTGGAGGGCCTGTTGGTGGGCAGGGGAAGGCCCTGGGAGG